TAAATGGCAACTGATTCGAAGCAACGATTCGAAACTACTGATTTGGGAAACTACTTTTAGTGTACCGACTTCTGGAGAACGCATACGCTCGATGATATATGACTTTCGCATTTCGCGAAAAAGTTTCAAGCTACCTCGATAAAACAAGCGTGCGCTCGGCGCGATGTAACGCGCGGTTTATTAGACGCAAAGTCCGTAAATCATCTTACGGGTTATTAATTACGATACTGGCGTCCGTTATTTTACAAGCGGAAAATTAGCTTGCAGTATTACGCGGTTGCAGCATCACTCTGCGCCAAGATTTCTAATACGATTACCTTGCTCGAGACTGTTCGGATGAAGTCACGCGTAAATGATTAGTTATGGGACAAATAATATTGAACTTTCGTTATTTTCTTTATTCTATGATCGAGTTTCTTTAATTCATCGCAACAATATAGCAGTTGCACCAATATAATCTAAGCGAAGAAAAAAAGTTATAGTGTAGGATGAGATGGCCTATAAGCATCTTTGTTACATTGTATCGCGTTTCAAAATTGAAATAAACTGAAATTCTTTGAACTTGAGAAATCATAGGAGAATACGTGATTTTATTCGCTAGATTTATTTTATTGTCGGAGGTGTCCGAATGTTTGTCGTGAAAAGAGATTTTTATCCTTCCGTTCTAACAACGCCTGTTAATCAACGCTGTTCTGTGAGAGTACCTTAATTACATTAACAACCAAGTAGTAAAATTACATATACAAGTTGTTTAAACGTAAATAATAATAAATATAAGGCAAGAAATGACCGGCATAAAATATTTATTATAGTAATAGATAATTTATACGAACTCACTGTAGAAATGTCCACGATTCAAAAGATTCTCTTCAGTTTCTCTTAATCTTCTCTTAATCTTTTCTCTTTAATGCTGTAAATACTTCAATTTTTTTAAACATCATAAAATTATGTATAGAATCTACACTACTGTAAAATTGATAATAATACAAATATTTCTAATGAATAACTTTATACTTGATAAACAGAATTCAATAAATTGTCTGAAAAAAGTATTGCAAGCGTTAAAGTTGTATAAAGTATTTCGTATGCACACATTCTTTTATGTGAGATATTACGTAAAAAAAAACAGGCGAATTATTAAAAATAATTGAAAAATTGTCCACAAATGATTCTGGTTATCGGCCTTTCGATAACTTTATTTCATATCTTTGCGCAGAGAATAATAACGAGGATCGATTTATCCAATAAAATATTTCATTCTATTTAAAAAGGAGCTATTTTGTTGCTCCAGAGGAGATTTATATTTCAGTTAGATAATCCTCGACGAGCCATTCAATATCCTCTACCACTATCTTTTCGTATTTCATGGCTTGCTCCCGTTTTCCAAAGTATCCTACGTTGATTTTATATTATATTAATTGAATTACTATCAAAGCATGTTCGTTACATCTATATCTATTTTATACTCCAGCATATATCTTTATTATCCTGGTTAAAAATGTATACGAAAGTAAATATCAAAACATTGCTTTAACTTTCAATTATTCTACATTTACAAGATATAATGTGTGCTTAATAAATCATTTCAAATATTAAAAGTGAATATTTATTAGAGTAGCAAAAAATTTCTGAGCTCTAATAAGAAATAATTAAATAAAAGATTCTCTTGTGATAACAGTAATGTATATTAGCTTAATGGAACTTTTTCTCGTTATTAGTATTTAATTATAATATACTGCATAAAATTAATTAATCTCACGAGATAACAAGTTTTTTTAAACTGATTATACATTTCAACGCGTTAAACAATCGAAGATTGTATTTCCTGACAGAATCTCGCTTGGATGTCCTAGTTATAAATGACATCATAATCGCGGTTATTTAATATGAAGCAATAGCATGGTCAACAGCTTTAAATTTACTTGTGTACAATTATTGCGATAATATTTCGAGCTCTTTCTTATCATAACAAGTCATAATAAGTTACTCTTGAAATTAAAATTTCTTAGAAGTGAAGGAGGTATTTTAAATTGTTCATTTTAAAATTCATCATTGTTATACACATTCTTGTATTGATGAAGAAAATTAGAATGTTATTTTCAAATTAACTTAATATCAAATAATTTCACAGTCGCATAAGCAAATACAAAGTTTTTCAGGGGACTCAATATCGCGCAAGACTTAAATTTAACTGATACTGTAAGACCACAACGATTCGAAATAGATTTGACTTTTAGCTTATTTAACTATTGTTGAAGTGGTCACCACTTCTAAGAAAATTCTACATCTGGTTTGTTTAGTTTTCTCAAGCATTGAAACCATCGACAGCGTATAGACAAAAAACTGCGACGAAAGCAGGACATAAACAGTAGACAGGCAACATTGGCTTCGGAGTTTTCAGTTATTGGGTAACACAGCTAGCGTGTGGATCTGGACCAGCTCAAATTGTATTCTTACTTATAATTACACTTCTATTTAAATATATTTTCTACCTTACAATTTATCCACGAGTTTCTCTGTTTATACATCAAATAACCTCAACAATTACATTAGAAAATTTAATTATAATTTTTATTCTATTACACAATAAATCCAACAAATACCATTAATGGTCTTTATTATGCAAAATACAAAATACAAAGTAAGATTTAATCTTATTAAACATTTTTACATAACACATGAAAAGAATGCGCAAAATAATAAAAATTCTTCTAATTTAACTCTCAATTCACTTCAATTTTATTTACTATCCCTGAAATTTACATTTACTTCTAAACTAATGTCAAAGACGATTCACGTTTTATGAAGAAGTACAAGTATCAAACTTGCGCGAGGTAACTTTCCATTGCATCGATCGTCGTCGAAGAAACATTATTTCGCCATCATCGTTGATACAACGTCATTTTGATGAGCATGTAATGGGTATACCCCTCGCTTTGTACCTTCAGAAATTTCTCAATGTCTAATAGTCACAGGGGCTTATGAAACGCCTCGTGTATACGATACGTCTTGCTGTCAACGGTGCGCACGAATATTCGCTTGGCAGTGCGCTTTACGATAGGCAATCTTTACGTGCACGATGAATGCGCGTTAAACGCGGTCTCCAGCCATCGTAGAACCTACCAAACGTTAATTTGATGAGACGTTACGTCCAATATATTAATTCTCGACATGGCAATATATCGTGTACCAGGATGTCGAGACGTTCTTAACACTAGGACAAGGAACGGAGTGGCAGTTCAGAAAACGGGAGGCTTAACCAGAGAGTCTAAACTAATCCAAACATTCCTTACGTGGCTTACGGCATTCGGCCTGCGGATGGTAGTTCTGCTAGCAATAATTGTGATAACATCTTGTTGCTACAGTCTCGCCGTCCCTCCCTGATACTGAAATTCTGTTTCTACGTGGCAGTTTGCCTGGCATAACGAGCCATCCTGAAGGAACCTCAGTCCTAACGTCGAACATCGTGTCGTTACCCACATATGCCCATACATACACCTACTAGCGAATGTGGCTCGCACATGTAATCACGCTCTGCGAACTGGATATGGTTAGACCTCTTAATAACGTGCTACCTACGTAGAAGCGTACGTGTTAGAACGATGTATCTACCTCTTTCGCACTGGTACACGGTACAACACGGTGAATGCTGGATCTTGATACGATATTGATCGGCTCTGTGTATCATGGGAATCTCTTCACGACACCTAGCAACGCGCTGGACTTTTAACATGGTCGATTATTACGCCACATTGAGTGTTCCAGCACCTATGTGATAGCCACTCTACGCTGTTGATTTATCCGTTTTAATGTCTCCGAAGATGGATTAGTTGAATGTTAGAGCACCTTCATAGATGAACATATGTGGACGTGCAGCTATCTATGCGTATAATAGACAATTGGATATCGATGATATCTGTATTATACAGGAATGTTCATATTGTGATTCTTAAGAGATACAGTATCGCGATGGATTTATATGAAGATTTTTGTCGAATACAGGCCACAAACGTAATGTAGTATCGAATTTTTCTATTCACGTGACAGATACATCCTGTGAAAGATGAACTAGATTTGGAAAAACCATTAAGAAATTATCGAAACGTTTTAGGAATTATTCCATTTGAAATCGTGAACTAATATCAATATTACAATAATAGTCCCATCAATTTGGAATCGGATCGTGGTCTTACACAAATATAACATTCTGTTCGATTAATCATTTTCTTTTTTCTTTTTTTTTTCAAGCAACTTATAGTCAATTTAACAAATTATAAATTAGATGATTTGCCTATTTGGCATAAGATTGTACAATTACAGAAAAGAAGTTCAAATCTTATAATTTGTAAAATTATATATTCACCAATATGATTTTGTAAAAGATCTGTGGACTCGTATCTTATAGGTGTATCTCAGTATGAAAGAAGGCTAACAGCTCAAGACGTTAGAGGAAAGTACACATTGGTACAAGTATTGGTAAACTTATGTCTATATAAATTTGGAATAATATTTGACTTGATAAAACGAGATTACCGTGACGATGTATACTGAAAGGATTGTTCCAAAATGGAGTTTCCAAGACAGGAATACTAGACGTAAGATGTTGAGATGTGGTACTGGTTCACACGCCATTGGGCGTGATCATTATTTTCCCGAGTCAAGGGGAAACGTGTCGTGGAACGGCATCACGATGGTCCATGTTCCATCGAGAAACGTACGAAGAAACATTGAGAAATATTGGAATTTTATGTGTCGAAAAATGTGTGCATTCTATGTTGGAAAATTGCTAGTTGTTGATAAATAGGGATAAATGAATGTTCGCGCATGAAAATGCTTCTTAATGCTCGGAAAAAATTGGGAAATAAAAAGAAGTAATTTAATGAAATACCACATTTCTACAAAGCATTTAAATTTATTTCCAAGAAGATTGAGATGAAGTATTTGGGTATTGAAAATTGGGAATTTTATCAAAAAAGTAGATTCTTTTTATTTCAAATAATTCTGTTACTACAATTTCTTTTCACTCGGTCATCCAACCTGTATAATTGTTCTACTTTCTTAACTGACGCAAATGCGGTATTTTTACTATTCCACAGGATTCTATTATCGCACGTCACCTTTCATTCTTCCTTGATTCAACAAAGGCCCCGGCCTCTTCATCAAACTCTCTTGTAATGTGCCAACATAAAGACAGAAAGGGAACATTTGTCATTAATGACCAATGTTGATCGTTTCTTTTCGTATGTATTTCTATTACACATTTCTGCGTTGATCGTATATTTTCAGACATATTTCTAACCAGTTAAATTTTTAAAAAGCTAAGCTTGGCTCTCCGAAGCATGATTTTGATAGTCTTTAAAACTGCTGAAAGATGAAGTATATTCATAAAACATGAATGCTGCAAATATTCCTTTGAAATTTTTTTCAAATGTGTAATTTCAACAGGTTGAAGTGGATCCAAAGTACAGAAATAAAATATAGCGAAATAGAGCACGTTTCATCTATGTTACAAACAAAAGGGATTAAAAGATTCATCAAAGACTTCAAAACTACCACGAATCTAAAGAACTAATTACACGTGCATATCATTTCCCCCTTTCTTCTATTACTCGCTTCAAAGACACAAAAATTCCAAAACACTTTTGAACGAGCTCGCGAAGAATCAGCGTGACAAACGCGAATAAAAAACTAAGCTGATTTTCTCGGAGTGAGAGACGCAAGGAACACCCAAGACTGCGAGATGAAAGCGAGACAGACGGAACGCAGATATTGTGAGGAGGTTCAGGTTCCGTACACGGTTGGTGCTGTAAACTCTGTTGAACTCTCATGCTTTCTGTGATGTGGAGAACCAGCTGAGTAGAAGGCACGAGTGTGTTGTACATGCCGAAGACGCATTAATATTAATGTACCGGGATTTACTGCGACACGAGCTGCTCGAGCCTCATGGGTAGGATGTATGTTTACAAATACGTTTCTCAATGTAGCCCCGCCCGACGGTTTGCCTTCAAGCCCGCAGTTCCATAGTCCAGGCGCGTTCTTCCTTACCGGAAGTAGCAAGTAACGTTGGCAAACTTGGACTCCCTGCATCTTGCAAGGGAGTTCCCTAAGGGGGCTTCCGGTACGGTCTGTTCTCGCCACAGAAATGGTTACGTTAAAGTGTGTCAAGGCATATCTTACCTTTTCTTCTCAAAGTACGTTCAGTCTGAAAATCGAGGGAATACTGTTCCCGTTGAGAAACGTACCAGCATGTCCTTGCATTCCCTAGATTCCTTGTCACATACGAAACTGGTGAACTGTTTCTCGTCTCTCCTTCTACTTTAGTTACAATGGCGACAGCTTCTTCAAATAATGTGCCCCGGGATGTTTCAATTCCTTATGAACATTTTTGGTATATCTCTTCTCACAGAAATTACTGCATAAGGTTCAGTTAAACTGCGAGTTGGAGATTTTTGGTCTCCTACGTGAAAAAAAAAAAAGAAAAAAATGAATAAATTCTTCTCGTGGGAAATTCAGAGGTTTCAATATTGTTATGATAGAGATATAAGAATCGTTATCTATAAAACGATATTCTTTGTTCATATCTCGTATTGAAAGTTGCCTGTGATTTAATTTGCTGGAAATATGGTATCTGCGCCTTTCATTTTAAACAAGTTTCAATCCTCTTTTTAATGGCTTTACGCATTCGCATTTTCAAAGTTCTGTATGATTCCACGTAGAAGGTAACTTGATTATATTAAACGTATTATGCAATATTGATCCTTTTAAAACAGAATTTTTAAAAAGGCAACTCCTGAAAGAAGATTAATATTAATAGCTTGTATTGACTTATAAATATTAAATTATCTATATATGTACATTTAAAAATTATTCCGAACGATATTTGAATAAAGCTTTTAAAAAAAAGAGATAGATAATTCATGAATTATCTATCCATTTCAAAGAATATTCAATTCGTTATTTTTTATCTATTTATTTGAAAGAATATTAATAGGATAAATCATATTGACGTGTAGACAATGAATTTTTAATATATATTTAAAGATGAATATACATGCTGTATTCAGCTTGCAAAAAAAAAGAGAAAATGAATGAAAAATTTAATTTATACCAAAGACGATAAAATCATGTTTAGCTGTACAGATTACCCTTTGACATTTAGAGATAACGCTGAATGCACGTTAAAATGAAAGTTCCATAAAAAAAAATTAGATTTCACAAGGCGACGAAAAGACTAATCTCCAACTGGCGAGTTAAGAGCAAGTTAAAGTTACAGGGCTCGATAGAACGTTTCATTAAACCGTCCACGTGGTCCGATTATTCTCACGCGATATAAAGTTTCTACCGTAATTCTCGCGGAATCGTGCGGTTCGATAATTTCAACGCGACGCCACACGGAGTGCCTTTTTCCGTTTTTACAACATTTTAATGTGTCGCATCAGGAGATTCATTGGGATGAAACGTGTCGATCATTTTTGCATCCGTTGAATCCGCGGCTCCGTCCAAAAATCCCAACGGAATTCAAAGTATTAACTTAAATTAACGTCACACGCGAATGCTTTATGGCCAATATAGACTATCGTGTTCGAGGAAGGCTACACAGTGTTGCCACGCTGTTCAATCGAGTGTGGAATATCGCATGATCGATGGTTCCCGTTCGATCACGACCGCGGATTATCTATTTTTGTTTTAGAATGTCTGTGGTGAGATATCAAACTGGCTCATAGAAATCGTTGGTATGGAACATCAAATTCATAGAATGCCAAACATCAGTCTAAGAGATTATGATGCTTCGATACACGTTTAATAGAATTTTCTAATCTGTTATCGTCTAATATACGAAACATCAAGATTGTTGTCCCGTAGATTCATGGCGCCCTAAACATTATTCTAGCGATTTATGATCTTCTCTCGTTCGATATATATCTGGTTAATAGAATTTTTGAATCTGTTATCGTCGAATAGGTATATGAAGGGCCGAGATTTTCGTACCATGGTAGATCGCTATGAAAGCTCGTGAGAGTACTTGCTTAAGTAAGCCGAAATTGGTTCGTCGGTGAGGTCAAACAGGCGTATCTAGACTACTAATTACCTAAGGGATTGGGACAAACTTAGCAGGACTCTCGGTGGAACAGGCGAACGATAGGGAAGTTCCACAAGCCCATTGCGTTTATATTCGCGATCGGGATCTTTCCTTAATCCTCATTGCCCTGGGAGGTTTCGAGAATCGTCCTAAGTCCACCAAGGCTGCTGGGAAATGGTCGGTGAACTTGCCATCGAATTTACAATTATATCGGCTGCGAGCCCTATCCTCCAAACCTGATACAACCGATAACGAGAATTTTGCCACTCGCATGACCCACGCACAGCAATGTTTTAAATTTGACCAGGAAATTACTTACTCCCTTGGGTTACTCTTTGGCTGACTTTCAGCGAGCATTTTATATTAAAGAGCAATTTTCCAGACTGCTACGGTTCCGCTTGTTCGCCAGATTATTAATGACGGAAGTCACGACTATGAGTGCACGTATTAAGGGCGTGCTAAGACGGAAGAAGGTCGGAGGCTGTAAAGCCGGAATTAATTAATGGCAATCAGTAAGGGTATTTAACCGTACATCCACGAACTACGTGTGGTTAATCGTCTCGATGTTCTTTGCCTGATAATTCATGGTTTCTCGTAGTACGTATCAGACGGACATGTCTGTTGGCAGAGGACCTAGGTAAATTGGCCACTGTGAATGATATTATTGTTCTTGGCCGACGAGAAACAGATTTCCAAGCTGATATAAACCTCTGGTAAAAACGCAGGATGGAATAACAGCGTTAAGAGTGCACGACCTTTTCATGTAGCATGACTTTGTGCTTTTTGGTTAACAGCTTCAAGTGGCATAGATTCGCCGACCAAGCAGAAGGAGGAAGGCAGAAGCGACGCGCGCGGCTTCTTGAAAGAGCTCTCGTAGTCTCGTACAGAACGAGAAAAGCCTGTAGACGTGACGTCACTCTTTGTGCAGACGCAGTTGGGGATTTCGTCGTTCGTAGTGGTTGGTCAAGGAGAGGGTGAATGACGTCACGTGCGCGACGCGACGATCGTCGTTCTGAATACCGCTGGCTTCCAGAAGATCTCTGTTCTTTCCAACATCCTTAACATTTTACGTGTGGAATATAAATTGTAACAATTGATACCAAAATTCGTACTAATATCGTTTCCAATTATACTTACAACAAATATAAGCTGATCTTGTAAGATTAACAGATTAAGGACCAACGTTGCAATATTTCATCAACAATTTTTTTAGTTAGTTTACGTTATTAAATTTTATCTTTTATCTGTGCTTATGGAAAGGGGTTCCGAGGATTTACTTAATAATCTTTCTCATTATTATCTTTTTCATCTAGTTTATATAGTTTGAAGAAGTTGATGCATAACGCTATGATAACATCTTCTTATATCTAATCCTTGTAATGGCTTGCGTATAGTAATTCAAAACGATGAGAAATCACGATACCAGATTTGATGCCGTTTTTTAAAATAATGAAACATTTTTTTTTTTTTTTTTGTATGATTTCTGTAATGAATTTTTTTTAAAAATGTGAAAATCATGTGTACGTTACTTTATTTTCGTTTTTCAATAAATTTGCTTTGTCCCCAATGGATTGATAGTTCCATAATTTCATTTGATTTATATTCTATAAATTGAGATATAGTCAACGAACAAAAATGTGAATTATCATAGGTCATGATAACCACAGAAAAATTGTGAGTGTCTCGAAGCTGTTTTATTAACAGGAATTCAGTATGGCATGGATGAGTACATTACAGTAGAACAACTATGGAATTTTAACAAAAGCAGAAAAATGTTAATAAAATCGCAATGTTGAAATGAAATTTGTATTGAGCATACAGTTGCAATTTCCAAGTTAAATTGAATTCTTACATTTCTTTTTAATCTTACAATTTTCTGTTACCATCTCACTGTTAGCACAACAATGTTTCTGATACAATTATTAAATACGTTTTAATATTATTTTAATATTATTTTACTTGTTATGAAAGAGTAACATTGTTTAATAAATTTTGAGAGAGATATATAATTTAATGAGTATATTTACAATATCAGTCAAGTTCAATTATTTTCGTAGGAAAATGTTGCGAATAAAGAAAAAAATAATATTTCGTCAATATCCTCAACGATTTATAACTTATATTCTCATGAATGTATTTTATTTTACATGTTTCATTATTTCCTTTCAATTAATAGTAACAATTAAGTCATCGGAATTTTGTAGTATTCATTACAAATATAATTACGAACATTCATTACAATTTGATACGTAGTACGTACTATTGATAATAGTAGTACGTACTGGCTCGACAAATTCCAGCTTAACTTCTACAACTATAACAAGGGATATATAACATATATACATATAATAACTAAACAACTATAACGCGGGACAAGTTTTTATTTAAAAAAAAGTGTCACTTCTATAATAAAAAAACTACATTTTACAATTTACCTGATACAATTATCTAGTCAAATTCACAAAATTGTAGCAAACGTAAAATGTTTTTCACAAAATCTCAATAAAACTTACAACAGAAACGAAATTTTTATAAACCCTTGTAATTGCTCATTGACCGTTCGAATCTCATTCCGCGGAAACATACATTCAATATCTGAGCATCGAATCGTTCTTTCGAATAAATCACTTTGTCCCGCTGTTCGCTCGTTCGTTTCAATCAATCTCATCGGAACACGTTATTTATCAAACGTCGAATCCATATTATTTCCAATATTTATACGGAAAATATGACTTGGAATAAATTGTGGCCAGAAACTACTTGCGAAAGAGAGAATTGAATGACCGTTGCCTACTCACGAGTTCGGATCGCGATGCGGGTGTGTTTTAATGTGTGTCGCGGCGAACTGTACGGGCAACGCGAATGGCGCTAGGGAGGGGGAAAGTCGGCCGCGACGGAGGGGAGACGACAGTACGGTATACCGAAGACTCGTTTCGGTGGTGTGGTGGGGGTTACGGGGGTCCAGGCATGGAGAGGGCGCAGTTCCGCGCCATCCTCCGTATCGTTGACACGTCCTACGAAAAGAGTGTAGAGTCAGTCGGTACGTTCGCTTCTCTCGTGACTCATCTTGTGCGTTGATCCTTGATTTCTCGTGACACCGAGCGATCTCGTCGTTCGGTTTCCACGACCCTGTCGTTTCGTGGTCGACGGAGCACGTAAGCATCTTCTTTATTTCAAATAACGCGCGTGCATCGGACAGTGCGCGTGCCGTGCGACCGTTGGGTCGCTGACTTTCAAAACAGTCTCGATCGCGCTCTCGACCTATCGACGACGTCGTTGTGCCGGAGGAGCGCGTATATCGACCCGTGATCCTCTTCAATCGTTCTTGCGTTCGTTTATTCTCACTGTGTCGTCAGTACGAAATTACCGTCTCGTATAGTGGATTGGTGAATTTCGGGTGTGACATTCTTTGTTCGGTTCAGTGAACATTTCACGGGGAACTATGTCGTCAACTGGCAACTATCTGTTCACCGCGGTGATTATCCTGATCGTCTCTGCGACCGGAATCATCGCCACTGTAACCATGGATGCCAAGATTCGCGACGACTCCGACTTGTCCCAGGTAAGAATTTTTTACGTTTTGTCCGTCTCTCTCACGCGTACTACGCATTCGTTTGGAATTAAATGTTTTTCGTTGCGCGTTATGTGTTCGAACGTGTTATGTGTCCTTCGACATTCGTGTTTTGGCGAAACATATATTTACTTCAACACATAGAGTCGTTTCACGCGTAAACGAAGTAAATAAATATACCACAGATGGGTACTTTTTGTTCATTAGTTCGTAACGATTGAAAGACTTGCGACCTTGCGTAGTGTCAAGTACTGTCTACTGTAACAAGATAACACAGTATATTCTGTATTCGTGAGAATCCCGAATGAAATTAAATACGACGAAATAAAATATGTTGCACGTTTCTGACGCATTCAATCGGTCCATGAAGGTTACTTTTAATTTGCATGGTTAACCTTGTTAGCAGAGGTTATGATCGAGTCTTTCATGATATCGTGTTTTTCTTCCGTGAAGTAGTTTTAAAATGTATAATGGAGGACGAAAAACTTCGAATGGTGAAACAGTTTAATTTTGAACTCTAAATATATTTGAATTAGCGAAGAATTTTCATAAAAGCTATATTAATATAACTGTTATTAATTTATATAATAACTAACATATTAATATATATTAATATATTATTTGGATTAATTTATCTGCTTAGTATTATGTAAAATTGAGTTACGTTTCATAACAAAATCGTATGAGACTCTACGTGGATTTTAGTGTTAAATGGTATTATCACGTTCGCAACTTATTTTTATGTCACCGTCAAATTACCAATAGAAACTCTAATAGGTTTTTTGTCGACACGAGTGAATCATTTAATTTTAGGGCCTTCTCCGTGTGCTAACCTTTATGACGAGGTTTACGCACCATCTCACATCATTCTGTTAATTAATGACGCAATAAAAGAGGCTGGCTGACATAAAATCGAGAGTCACTCGACTCTTTTCTTTGCGTCCATCGACTCGATTCTTTTTTTCTTGCAGCGTTCCCACACCTTAGATTACACAAGGGAAGTATAATTAGCCGATAAAAGAGAAAATTTGCTATTACAAAAGTTTTTTTGTGTGAATAAATTGTCAATCTTTTCGCGTTTAAGATAGCGAGAGATTAATTCCGCGAGATTATTCACTTTTTAGTGGAGCAATTGTTCGCGTACTTTATTAGATGAATATTTCCGTAGAAGGATTTCGGTGTTTCGGGATGTTTTTTTTAGATATTAAATAAATTTGTTAAATTGCCCAATTTTTTGCCTTAGATACTTCTGTACTAGTTCATATATTTGTTTAACATTTTTATTATCTTTATTTCACTGTTCTTCATGTTCCGTGTAGATTGACAACATAAATTCGTTCTGTTCTTATTTATATCGATATACTATACAGTATGTAGATATAAAAACAAGATAAGTCTATGTTACAACCACATGTTTTATTATTTTCAATGCAAATAGTAGGAGCATTGTTTTAAGGATTGAAAATTAGTGAAACATGAGGTTCTTCAAACTATATAAAGAATTTGAAAAATTTTTGTGAATTTAGGGGAAATGTAACGACTACGTAAAACAATTACTGCATCAGTGGACCAACCTTTTCTGCAAATCTTCATCAAAAGCGAATATTTTACTAAAATATTTAATTTTCTGCGAATAATGTAGATTTTGAGAGATACAGGCAAAGTTTTATATATTATTTCTAAATTATATTAAAAAATCGTAATACGTACCTCCTTCTATTACTGCATAATATTTTTCTTGCTTTTCTGCAAAAATCCTCTGAATTTCTTTAAAATATTCAATCTTCAGTCGACTGTGGAAGTTTGACAATACCCTTATACTGTTGTTAAATTTTATCAAAAAATCACACAAATTGAAAATTAGACTATACACACAAAGTTGTCCCATTTCCAATTAAATTTATTAATAAATTTTACAAAAAACAATGCATCATATTTTTCTCGCTATTCGTCTAAAATATCTTTAAAAACCGGAGGAAATTTTCTAGAAATTTTATTTCACGATTCGTTCGATATTATTCGCTCGACGATCGAGTCAATTTTTCACGCGATCTCGTTTAAAAAGGTGAGTTCTATAACCGGAGGCGCCCAGTCTTCCACGGATCGCGTTTCACGTTTAGTTAAATGGACTGATCTACATTAAATCCCCCGGAGATTCCTTTGGCGGCTTTGAATTCATCTCGCTGAATATTACAATAATGCGTATCCAGCTTCGAAGGCAGGCCGAATGGATCCCACCCACCAACTTGTTGCTGCGACAAAAATCGTCAGGACGTTTTCGCTTGGGGCTAGTTTTCACTTCGATCGATTCAACAAACTACTTGCTGCCGCTGGTCCCCGAACTCGATTTTCACAGCTTTTATTTCATTCCATGCTCGGCACCGAACTTCCACGATTCTTTTTATCACCGAGAAATATGATTCGGTCCGGCTTTTAACCTTTTCGCGGTCGTGGAACGTACAGCTTTTAATTTTGTCCCACGACACGACGCTTGTTTGCTCGAATCTAGAGGTTTCTGACATTGATTTGCGGCTCTAAAATCGAGTTTATTTGTGTAAAGTACAATAAATACACTTTATTCGATCTTTTCATCAAAATTTGTAGAAAAATTATAAATTGGAATTATAAATTTAGATTTCGTAAAATGAATTTATACGTGAACTGAGGGAATTGAATGATATTTTGGAAAACATTTAGTGTAAAAATACATTTCATTACTGAAATATATTAAATTATGAGTATAAATGTGAATAAATCGTTTAGGTTTCATCGTTTTCTGTGATCCCGAGGTATAATAAATTTTCCAGGTAATATTACACGATATGCTTTAAGCCATATCAGCAAATATAGTTTAAAGTCAATGAAGAAACTTTCAAGAGAAAATGGATCAATTTTGAATAATTTATGCAGACACTAAAGATATCAATAGGAATGTTAACTAGAGGAATAATATTATGTTATTAGCTTGTATAATTGCTGTCCAATACATTATTTATATAACACATATATAACATAGTAACACGATATACATTACTTTTGATGATATATTTCCTAATATTCATTCACAGATTACGTTATATCTATTAATAGAAGACGCAATTAATTCGATCCTACGTCTTTTAAACATGACGGATAATGGCCTTCTTTACACGTACAAACCTTTCATACACTACTTTCCACAAGAATATTTTATTCGACTATCTCGATCACGTCTGCAACGAAAGCTAACTCGGGATCAATTTCTATTTCCCTTCAACTTCTCGTATTTTCAGAAAAATCTTATACGTATGTGCCGTATTTGCCCAGTAGACTGTAACTCCTATGAGCGAGAAAACAAGCTTTGGATAAAATACAAGGGATATTTTTATTAAAGTTATTATACTCTTTCGTATATGTTGAAAATTACATTTTACAAAATTTCACATATTCTCAATTTTTCGTACGAGATTGTCCTATAAATTACAAATTATCGTATAAATTGCAAATTATCCTATTACATCGCGGTTCATTGTTTAAAGTAATACGAAATCGTAAGCCGTACAAAATCACATTTAGCCATGATACATACGTACATATATATTGTACATATTTACATTTGCGTTCGTAGCTGCAAAATAGAGTGCCATGTAATAGAGAATATAGCATGTGAAATCAGATTACACATGTCGATATAATGTACAATGGTTTTGATGTGACACGGATTAACAATAGTCTCCATCGCTGTCATAAGCGTCTAATTCGTCTATTGTTTCGTTCGTTTGGAGTATCGGGAACGCATGAATTCCTCGCGCTGAGCTGTTCCATTTCACCTGTTCTTCCCTGGAAAGTCGTGGTGCTACACGGTCAACCGCGTAACTGAAACGGTCATTGCCAATGTCAAAGCCGTTCTCAGTTTCCGTCCTCCACTCTCTCATTCTCTTTTCATCACCAAGGCTCAGCTTCTGCCAGCAAGTGGCCTTGCCTTTCACTTTTTTTCGTACAATGCTTACGTTAAGTCCCGCTAAGTTCCATTCATGTCGATGGCAGCCAGGTGCAAACAGGTAGATTGGTTACGCTTGTGTGTACAATACACGTTCGTTCATGATAACGACCATGTTGGCCTTCGAAGATTCTGTTTGATATTAACGCCATTACGCTCCAATGACTTCCTCGTTTCTCTATAGGTATACCGGTGTTGCACAAATATGCATACGTAATAGGGTATTTGAATACTTGTAGAAACTTTTTATCAACATATTACAACATATAACAAACATATTACGCAAACATATATGTTTAACATGTAACAAAACATTTTGAAATTTCATTAGCGCCGTAACGAGACACAATTACCGCACTTATCTCGCTCGTATTATTAAAATTTGAAACGCATTTGAAAATGTGTATAAAAGTTATAAAATATTTATTGAAAGTATATACATCGCAGTATTTGAACAGTTTATCATTCGCTGTATTAATAAATCTCAATATTCAGTGAGATTATCTCTTTAACGCTTGGGTATTATTATACTTGAGCAAACTATTCTAGCTGTATGCTGATTTTTTAGTGTAAATACATGTTTATGGTAAATATCTTGTAACTCCTATATGCATTTTCCGAGTTGTTTCAAATTTTACCAACATCACGAGAATCGAGTCTTGTAATGCAGACAAACATAAACAGGGATCATTTTTCTTACGAGAGTTTCCATTGTAACTGTTGTGTTTCAACGAAATTACATTTTTACCAAATTCCATTCTTATTAGGTCGTCCGGAAAGTTTCTTTCGTTTTATAAGAAAATAATGGATGCACAACATTTTCCGTTTTATATTATTTTATCGAATTACGTGTGATCCATTTTGTTCTATCAAAATAAAGATCATAACGTGTGACAGATTAGGTTTCATGTTTGTATAAAGATGCGTTGTCGTAAAGATGTGTCTGTAAAAGAAAGACACTTTTCGGACAACCTAATATAAGTATGAAGAAGATGCTGTTTTCTTTGAAACC